CTGAAAGCCATTCATCATGGTCAAATCTATCAGAATCGAATGATTCGAGCACATACAAAAAGGTGCGCCCGAGAATATTTCGCACAAAGAGATCTGGTATTAAAAAGAATTTGGCCAGTCCAGAAAGATTTCCGAGGAAAATAGACACCAAATTGGGAAGGACCTTATGTCATGAAAAATGCCTTCTCTGGAGGAGCCCTTGTCCTAGCTGAAATGGACGGACTTGAACTGCTACATCCCATCAACTCGGATGCGGTCAAAAAGTAATTCGCTTAGGATGAAAACCTGAAAGGGCGTATTAAGTCGAAGGAAAAAAAGGAAAAAACAAGAAAATAAAAAAATAAAAAAGAGAAAAAACGTTTAGGGTGAAAACCCGAAAGAGCGCCCTAAATTGAAAAAAAGGGAAAAAGAGAGAAAAACAAAAGAAAAAAGAAAAGAAAAAATAAGGTGGGTTCAAGATGAAAACTCGCAAAGGGTGTCTTGCAACCAATGATGGGTCCAAGTTGAAAACCCGAAAGGGCGATTTGGACATCGATCAAGGAAATCTAGACAGTGGAAACATCCTGACATCTGAATCTTCTACAAACTCAACAAGTCGGAGAAATGTTGCACTCTCCAGAACGTTGTCGTATTTTCAAAGATCCCTTGGCAAAGGTTGTGTTCAAAGTCACCTGACGGCTTTTCAGCTTAGAAGTGCCCACATTATCGAGATCTTATACTTCGTCATGTATTCATTTTCTAAAATGTTTGTCATGCATTATTTGTTCTTTTTTTCCCTTATAAGTAAAGACAATCTTTTCTCTAAATCAATTCCTTTTGAGCATCTTGAATTGAACTTAAATTCAATGATTTATCTACTTATGCAAAAGATAATCGTATATTACTATACAAAGATTCATTGAAAAGTACAGGTACCCGGAAGCCGATCAAGGCTCATGCACATACTTGAGATGGTCGGGAAGCATTTCCCAAATCAAGAAGCAAATAGAATGTGCACTCAGGGATCAGAACTTCAAGATTTCAAAATTAAGAGTCAACAACAACAAACCACCGGAGATCGAGATTTCTCTCCAGAGCCCATAATAACATATGTTGCATATGCATTTTAGGCATACCTAAGAGCATTGCATCCATAACATTGCATATATGCATATCTTTGCAGATTTTATCTAGAGCCAATTTCAACTTCGTAGCAAAGGATATTAGACTAAAAATGACACAATTTGCTCGAGAGTAGATTTTAACTTCACGACAAAGGATATCTAGCTCGAAGCCAAACTTCACAATAAAGGGGTCATCCACGGTTTCAACTTCACGGCGAAAGGAATCGTGTCCACACGCAACATACAATACTTGGATTTCAACTTCACGATGAAGGATATTCAAGTCAAGGCTCAACTTCACAATGAAGGGGCCATCCGCGATTTCAACTCCACGATGGAGGATATCGTACCCACACATCCACGATTCAACTCCATGATGGAGGATATCGTGCCATTTGAGGCTCAACTTCATGGCGAAGGGGCTTTCCAATTTCAGAGCCAATTTCAACTTCACAACGAAGGATATTGGACCCAAGACAACACAAGCTCAACTTCACGACGAATGGGCGGCTGATTATCAACAAACAACTTTTCAATTTCATTCAGTGTCAATTTCAACTTCACAACGAAGGATATTGGACTCAAGACAACACAAGCTCAACTTCACAATGAAGGGGCGGCTGATTGTCAACTTTTCAGTTTCATTTAGAGTCAATTTCAACTTCACGGAAAAGGATATTAGACTCGAGATAGCACAAGCTCAACTTCACAACGAAGGGGCGGCTGACTGTCAACAAATAATTTCCTAGTTCCAGAGCCAATTTCAACTTCACGGCGAAGGATATTAGACTCAGAACAATACAACTTACTTGGATTTCAACTTCACGACGAAGGATATCCAATTACCAGGCTCAACTTCACGACGAAGGGGCCACCCGCGGTTTCAACTTCACGACGGAGGGAATCGTGCACACAAGCAGCATCCATCTCTAAGATTGGATTTCAACTTCACGACAAAGGATATCCAACTCAAAGAATGAGTGTCTGTTAATAAACTTTCCAGTTTCAGAGTCAATTTCAACTTCACAACGAAGGATATTGGCCTCGAAACAACGTAACTTACATTGGATTTCAACTTCACAACGAAGAATATCCAATTCCAAGGCTCAACTTCACGACGGATGGGCTATATACGATTCCAATTTCACAACAAAGGGCATTGTACCTCAACAGATCGATCTAACTTCACGATGAATGAGTCATCTGCAGTACAGTAACGCCAAAGCCTTTGGGTTAAGCTTCAACTTCTACTTGCCAAGGGTTTTTGAGTTCGATTTCAACTTCACGACGAATGATATCGTGGTCAGAAGTTTCCAGTTCAACTTGACCTCGCGGTGAGGGAGTCACTTCGACAAATCAGTCTCAATATCGGATTTCAACTCTACGACAGAGGATGTTCGATATAGAAAAAATTTGTGTCTTGTAATCTTTGCTCCATTTTCATTACACGATAATGAGCAAAGAGGGGCAACTGAAGACACTAAATTTTATCCTTTAATATTATATAATATATATACATAATATATTATTCATTTTTTACATATGGTGCATACATATTTACATATATATATCTGTTACATTTGCAGGCCCGTTACACAAGACCTAGCTGCACATGACCCAAATACGTAGGGTTTTCAGAAACCCTAAACCAATACTTCTAACCACCAGCAATTATGACAGTTGGATCTAGATGAGATCCAACGGTCCAAAATAAAAGATATCTAGGGTTGTCTCAAACCCTAACCTCGTCAACTCCACACACCTCCATAATCGCAACAGTCCCGCGACAACACGTCTCGCTCCAACAACCCGTATTTGACGCCAATTCTCTCACCCCACGCAACCACGTTCCTCGGCAATGAACAACAAACAATCAAGAGTTACTCAAGCACTTAAAAATCGAAGAAGTTGAGTCCAAATCGGACTCTAAAAATAGCCAAATCCGAGACTATAAATCGCATGTAAAATAGAACACAAACACACACTGGTTTTTATCATAAAACTACGCTAGCAAACAGAGAGATTACGAGAGTCGCACAAAATTCAAAAGAATATTGTAACAGCTTTGGAAGCATTGTTCGAAGTGCAAATAAAATAAAGGTATATTTTTTGCGTACCTTTTCATTCGTTCGATCCTCTACATGTCGTTTTTATCTCCTTTCGTTGTGTTTTGATTCGAAAGAAAACAAAAAGAAAGCTTTTAGTTGATGAACGGGGCATTTTCGAGATCTATTTTCTTAGATCTAGCCCTGAGGCCGATTTGTTTTAAAGAAATATTTTGATTTTTGAAAAGGAATTTTGAAAAGCTTTCGAAAAACAAAAAAAAAATAAAGTTTTGCCGACGAGGCGGCATGCGGTGGCCGGATACTGGGTTCATCCCCACGGCGGTGTTCATCCCAAGGGACGAATAAATCAGAGAAAAAAAGAGATGGGGGCACTCGATTTCAAATGAGAAAGAATGAGAAATTAAAACAAGCTTTTGACTTAAATATTAGACCCGATGACCCTATTACGACCCTCGCGCCCAATAACATGACCCGCGTGTTTTTGAAATAAAGAGGGTAAACTGCGCTCTTGGACTCTCTAACTTTTAAAACTTCAATTTCGATCCTGAAATCAATTTTTGAACCTAATTTTCTTTCATTTTGTCACTCAATTTTCCTTTTTTTTTCACAATTTAGTCATTTTTTTTATTTTAACTCTACTTTTCAATTTTTATTTTTTTAATGTCACATTATAATATTTATATAGCTTATATTTTCCTTTATTTTTTTCTTATATTTTACACGTATTATTATTATTTTATTGTTTATTTATTCTATTACATGTTATATTATGCATATATATATATATTATATATATATATATATATATATCCTAATATTTTTAGTTTACACGTTAATATGTGCATGTATATTTTATTTTTTTTTTTTACATTTTTTCCGTTTTGTTTATCTATTTTATTATTATTTCCTTTATCTTTTTTCTTTATTTATCTTATGTTATTTTGTCTTTATTTTTTTCTCAATTCTTTGCATTTTCACTATCTACATGTTAATTGTGTTGTTTACTTGTTGTATTTATTATTTATTTATTTTTCTCTTCATTATTTCATTTTCTATATTTTCAATTTATCTTCTTCACCTTTGTTTTTCTAATGTTTCTCTTGATTTTTTGAGAATACGTTTTCAAAACGATTAGAGGTAATTAATTTGGATCGTTATTTTACCTTTTAATATAAATTTACAACTTTCTTAATTAAAGACAATTAAAAATTACATAGTACCGAATGGGCGGTTCAAGGGTGCTAATCATTCTTTGACCGTAACCGACTCCCGAGCATGACACATTTTTGGTAAGACGCAGATCAAGTAAGAAATAAGTATTTGATCTACCTATTTGGTTTTAAAACAAAAGATCGATGGCGACTCTAACTCATTTTCTTAAGTCGAAGCCTGGTTCTGGGATCCAACCGAAAGACGGTTCCGACAATAGTCAAGTTTGAGTCTTTGCATATACAAAAAAATCTTTATTGAAAACTCACCTACTAAAATTAAGTAACGTTCGCTAATCGATTTGATTAGTCAAGGTAAAATTTTAAAATCGGTGAGAAACAATTAAAATTACTATTAATCAAATATTAAAGAGTTTTTTTTCATTGTATCTTTTAAATTTGGCCTAAAAAGAAAGAGAAAGAAAAGTTGATTTTGCATTTTGAGCAAAACATTGTGAAGATCACGGCAACAGTTACCTGCCACGTAAACACGGGAAACTAGAATCACCGTCTCTCTGTTGACAAAAATCTGTCTACCAAACCCCACGACCGCACTGTAGTAAACCTACCCCATCACGTGTCCTAACCCAATTAACTGACATATTTGGTCATTATATTACACGGACCGTAAAAGATCAAAATAAAGAAACCTGTCTCATCATTTCTCTTCCTTGGGACTCTCTTTGATTGGAAGTTGAAATAACCCCCGATGCATCCGCTAAACGCGGTTATGGCGGCCAGGATGCTGTTCAACACGGCGTCCTCCGTCAGTGAATCCGCCGGAGAAGGGATTCCGTTCGGATCTCCATGGTGGTTCATCTACGCAGGCATTTCTTGCTTTTTAGTTCTTTTCGCGGGGATCATGTCGGGTCTCACTCTCGGACTGATGTCGCTTGGTCTCGTCGAACTCGAAATTCTACAACGGAGCGGGACTTCGAACGAGAAAAAACAAGCTGGTACAAAAATATATAATTTTGGTTTTTTATTTGGAATATTTGTGGAGGAATCATTGGATTTCGATTACTATTATTGTTTGATTTGGAATTTGATGATTAAGAAAACCGCTTTTGTTTTTTTTAGCTGCTATTTTGCCAGTAGTTCAAAAACAACATCAGCTTTTGGTGACTTTGCTTCTTTGCAATGCTGCTTCGATGGAGGTAAAAAACTTTTAACAACTTGTTTCTGTTCAGTTTGGTATAAATTGAGTGGAAATACCATGTTTTCTTGCTTGTTTGTGTGATTGATTGATTGATGCCAAAGAAAATTATAGAGGGATAGACTAAAAGTTTTGACCAAGCAATGTTGTTTGATTGGAATAAGATTTGCTAGAAAACTGATCTTCTAATGCAATTAACAAATTAAGATAACAAACTGAAATTTTTTGTTCCTAAGTGAGGTCCTAATGATGACTTGATGATACCTAATGCTGTTCCTTACATTACATGCAAATTTGTTGGAGCTTTGCACGTGGAGATGAGTGCTGAACCCCTCACTATGTACCTTTTTCTTGTTTCTGAGTTTAAGAATGGGGTTTCAATTCTGTCAAGTAGGCATTTAGGCTCCGATTACAAAAAAAGTTTAACCTGGAGTTGTTATTCTATTTATAGGTAGGTAATTCCTTTTCTAAGCAATTAGTATACCATATAAAGTAAGATTTTTGGTAGTTCCCCATTATTAAATAACTGGCTGTGAAATGTGATACCTTGGTTATGCTTGCTGAGTTGTGGAGGCTATCTATTGATAATGATGTAGCTTTGGGACTATCAAGTATTACTTTACTTGAAATTTACCACGTATTTCATATTCTAAGGATGTTTGAGAGAAGATTGACTTTCGTTGACAGCCTTAATATTTACTTCTTGCAGGCGCTTCCTATATACCTGGATAAGCTTTTCAATCAATATGTTGCTATCATACTTTCTGTGACTTTTGTTCTATTTTTTGGCGAGGTAGGCTGTTTAACTATTGTATTATTTAAGCTTGACTTGAACCTTTAATTCCTTGACCAAAATTAGTTCTTTTGCTTTCCAGGTTATTCCACAAGCAATATGCACAAGATATGGACTCGCTGTAGGTGCAAATCTTGCAGGCCTTGTGCGGGTTTTAATGATTATTTGCTATCCAATAGCTTATCCCATTGGAAAGGTAAGTTTGAAGGCCATCATTACACGTGTTACACTCTTGAAATGAGAAAATTCTTAAAATTCTTGTCAGAATGGTTGGAAAGAAATTTAAGATATATATTTTCTGAAAGTGAAATTTAAGAAAATTTTAATATTGAATAGATAATAAAATTTTATAAAAAGATAATTTATTTACGATTCTTTTAGGCATTATATTCTTTATAAAATTTAAATTCATATAAATGGCTAACGACACCTAACAAAAAATATTAGTTGCGACTTCCATAGTTTTATCTGGAAAATATATTCTATGATTTGCCTGTTATAACGTTCTTTTCCTTTCTTTCCTAATTATTTTCATTGAGGAAATATCAAGGTTCAAATGTTCTTATCAAAAAAAAAAATCAAGGTTCAAATGTGAGGTGGTATGGGGTTTCTATCTATCTGAGTTTATGTAAGTGTTTCAGTTTGACCCTTTTCCATCTAGAAGGTGGAAGAAATCATGTAGGCAGGGGAAGGAAGGGGAAGGAGGTAGAATTAGAGAGAATGATCATTTCTTTCATTTGCTTTCCTCAATATTTGTGTAGGATGATCCTTTCCTTCATGAAAGGGACAATTATGAAGGGGGTTTTTTTAATGAGACCTACTTTTATCAAAAAAAAAATATTTGTGTAGATTGAAAGCTTCATTTTCCCCTTCCCACCCACATCTGATAAAAAGAGAAGTAAGAAGGAAATGGAAGAGATCAATTCTAAAAACATTTCTCTTATCAAGGGTGCAAAAAAAAAACGCTTGTATGAGTAAAATAAGGCACAAATATGTCTATGATATTTTGTATGCGACTATGTACATTATATATAATGATAACCTTAAGCTATATGGTTGTGGTAATAAGCTCTATACGTCTAGTTTCATCTACAAACCATGGAACTTTTCTTCTTTTGTTGCTGATATGCATGTCTTGTGACTATTGTCTCATGGCTTATTGAGAGGTAAAGAGGTTTATATTATCCTATTTCTTAATAGTAAGGTATAGCTAATTAAAAAGTTAAAATAAAAGAAACAAATAGAACTTTAATCAGGTGGGCTTCTTGTGCCTATTGCCTTACTAAAAAGCCTGATTAAATGCTCCTTGCCTGAATTGGTTTGAGGCTTGAGACGCTTTTGTTGTTTGACTCCAAGGTGTAATGCCTAGGCGCATGCCTTGACAACAATAGTTCCTGTTAAAGTTTGTTTGTTTTTCCATTTGTGTAGTTTTAACATACCATTATAATTGATGAAGCACTAAAGTTGTATATATTTTCCAGATTCTGGATTGGGTGCTGGGACATAATGAAGCACTATTTAGGCGGGCTCAACTAAAAGCCCTTGTATCCATCCATGGCCAGGAGGTAAATCAGTTTGATGTCGCTGAACATTACATGATATAATCCTGTGATAGAAGTTTGCTAAATTTTGTAGAGTCCTATAAATGTCAGAAGATTACCGTTACATTCATTTATTTTTCTTCACAATGAATATATTTTTCTTGATCTAACTATTTAGGCTGGCAAAGGAGGTGAGCTCACGCATGATGAGACAACAATTATTAGTGGAGCACTAGATTTGACTGAAAAGGTATGCATCACGAAAAAGCAATATTATTATTATTTTTTGGATAAGTGATCTTTTTTTTCATTCTAGAAAGCAGTTAAAAAACTGCTACATCATCAAAACAGAGGCAGAAGTGAGCTACAAAAGTAATGTTATTCATAAGTTAAAAACTTAAAATCTCTTTCTACAGAGGTGATGTGGTTGATGACTGTTACTAATATAGTGGTCATGTACTGTGCAAAAGTGGAATATTATGAATTAGTATAAATTATAGAATTTACGTACTCATGTATTTCTTTCATGTGGCTTCATTAGGACCAGTTCGAAACAATTTCTCAATTTTCCTTGGCATCTTAAACTAATTTTTCCTGTTCTGTTATAATACTTGGGCAGACTGCTGAAGAGGCTATGACACCTATAGAATCAACTTTCTCTTTAGATGTCAATTCAAAGTTGGACTGGTAATATTTTCTCCTTAATTCATATTGTAGTTTGATATAAGAAGGATCAATACATCAATCATTTTAGTGATAAAGTTTGTATTTGATACAACTAATACCCTCCTCCTTCCACTTATTCTATTCTTCGCAAGTGCATGAGCAATATATAACTTTCCTTATTAACTGATGCCTGTTCATTAGTTTGTTTAAATGATTAGTTTCCATCATAAAGCCTTTATATGTGTCAATGAAGTCCAATATAACCGTCAAATCTGTTCCTTTTGTGTTGTTTCCTTAGTCTTAGTTGAAATGCTAAAAGAATTTATGTATTCAATTTCTCAATCATCTCTCTCTATCTGATCTTTAATCTTGAATGAACTACCCCAGGGAGGCAATGGGTAAGATCCTTGCTCGTGGTCATAGCCGAGTCCCTGTCTACTCAGGGAATCCCAAAAATATTATTGGACTTCTGCTGGTATGTATTTGACGTTAAATGTTAGATGAAGTCTCATAGCAGTCATGCATTTGGGTCTAAAGCTTTTCTGATCTTTTTGGTTATTTTGCATATTCCGCACATGGAATCTTTTTTTTTTATTGAAATCGGACTTAGGTGAAAAGTCTTCTCACTGTACGCCCTGAAACTGAGACACCAGTCAGTGCAGTTTCCATCCGGAGAATCCCAAGGTTCTTACTTATTGATATATATACTTATTATTTCTGTGTAAGTATAAAATATCCTGCTAGTTTAGTGTTCATGTTCGGAGTGTTTGACAGGGTTCCAGCTGACATGCCTCTCTATGATATTCTGAATGAGTTTCAAAAGGGCAGCAGTCATATGGCAGCTGTTGTGAAGGCTAAAGGAAAAAATAAGAACCTTCCTCCAACCCTTGATGAACTAAAATCTGAAGAAAACAAAGTCTCCAGTGCAGATTCCCAACTGACTACTCCGCTGCTATCCAAGCTCGATGAGAAGCCAGAGAGCATTGTTGTTGACATTGATAAGTCGTCACGAGCTACCAACACAATAAGGCAAGATGCTGCAACAAATGTATTGTCTGTCACATCAGAGGATATTGAAGATGGTGAAGTGATTGGTATTATCACCCTAGAAGATGTTTTTGAAGAACTTTTGCAGGTAAATTTCAGTAAAACCTCACTAAATGAATGACCAATAAATTAATAATCTTGGTTAATCAATAAAATCCCAGTCTTCAGACCACTGTATTGAAATAACTAATTGCTAAATGCATAACATAATAATTTTTTAAATAATTCTTTAGGGCATAACAAATAAATTAATAACCCAGGGGAAAAATGAAAAATAGAGAAGGGGTCATAGTACTATAAAGAAATATTCGCTTGACAACATTCCCATTGAAGTCCCCCACCCCCTCAAAATATGATCTACACTTTTTTACATCTAAACCAAACCAAACCAAACTTCATCCTTAAGTTTTTGGATTCAACACCTTTTTATAATACAACAAGGTGACTTGCTTGAAATGTCTCTCCTGAAGAAACAGTTCTCTGGATTTTGTTCGTTTCCAATTGGGCATATACGTGACCTTATGAATAATTTCATCTGTAGAGGATTCCATCACTATATTTAATGTTTCTTATTCATGTGCCATTTATCTGAGTAAAAGAAAATGATGATATATATGTTTAAGGATTGAGAATATAAATTCTATATCAATTAATTTTATCGGCAGTTATGTAAATTGTTTAAAGTGATATCTTTTCTTAGTCCAAATAGCAGATCTTTAAATGGTATACTAGGCACTAGCTAACCATTTTTTCCTAATGCAGGAGGAGATAGTGGATGAAACCGATGAATATGTTGATGTTCATAAAAGGTATTGGACTGGCTAGAACATTATTCTCATTCAATTACACCTGAAATAATGAAAAATAAGAATGGATGGAATATCATCTATTTTTGCAGAATCCGTGTTGCTGCAGCTGCAGCTGCTTCATTAGTGGCACGTGCACCATCAAGTAGGAGGCTAACTGGTCAGAAGGTAAGGGAAAGTTAATTTTAGCATTTTTCCTTCCTTTGTCTCTGTCACGGATGGATCTGCTTCATCTGTTCTGGAATCTAGAGTCATTTTCATCTTCTTTTGCATCAATTTCAAGAAAATAGAGGAAAAAAGAAGAGAAAAAGAGGTTTCAGATTTATTTATAAAATTCAAAGCTTTTTATTATTATTTGTATGGAAAAATGTAGTATCTTATAAGTAAGCAAAAACACTAGAAGGTACTACGAAAGTAATGGAGTGCTTGATAGCTACTTGCTTCTCTAGCTTTAATTGTCAGTGTTTGAATGTGCACATTACATGATTTAGAGCTTTAAATTTTGTCCAAGTTCTGTTCTTGCACATTTATAAGGTCAGTGGTGGATCCACATTTTATTCAGGGTAGGCAAGTGTTCACCCTGAAATCTAAATTTCCTTCTATTGGTTATCCATTTTACTGATTGTGCATACCCGAAATCTGAATTTCCTTCCATTTTCAATAAATGTTATGTTGTTAATATGTCTACCGTCAAAAATATTTTTGAATCCGTCACTGTTTAAAGTGGTATGGGATTCATGGAGAGGATAAAACTTTGTTTTTTAAGTGATGTATAATTTTATGCAGGGAGTCCAAAGCAAAGGTCAAGCCACAAAGAAACCTGCCTAGAGTGAGTGATTCAGACTCTTGTACTAGCCTGCTCTGAACAATAGACGAAACAAATATATACCGGTGATGAGGCCTGGCTATGAGTGTCTTAATGAGTTTTATTCTTGTGCATAATGGATTTTCTATATACGTTTGAATTTTCTTCGGTTGATTATCTATTTTTTTGTTTGTGTTCAATCTAAATTTTTGTTTGTGTCCAACCATTGTGTTATTAATATATACGTGTTCATCTTCAAAAATATTTTTGAAATTCATCGCCTTATTCATCTAAAGAAAATTATAATTAGAACTTCCAAGCAATCTGAAACTATATTTTTCACTTTGGGTGATGAAATATGGAATCGAACCATGATTTTGTGTAGAGTTTGCATCAAGCTGTTTACGTAATTTACCTCGGGAAATAAACTATTAGTTGACAACCCTACTTCTAGGAAACGGAAATCATATGATTAATATACGGTTAATACAAGGTTAAAAAAAGACAAAAATCGATTGTAATTAAAATTTTTATTAAGAGTAGTCTTTTAAGTTGGACAGAAAAATCTTTTAAGTTGGATAAGTTGCAATTAAAGATGTTATTTTTTTCATTGCATTTTCAGTTCTAAGTTTTAGACACTTGCAATGTAATTTTTCGATTATAACTGAAATTGTTATAAATTTGTATAATTTATAAGTTGAATATAATAGCATTTTAAGTTAAAACCATCCTAAATTAGTATTAAATTATATTATCGTACGCCCGATTAGAAAAGATAATTCACCTCCAAGATTCCAAGAAAACTCATCGTTTACCCAATTTGGAAAGCAACTTTAGAGGTTGAAATATAAATGTTTAATGAAAAAAATATGTTTATAAACTATATTCAAAATTAATTTTAGGTGTATTAATTTTTTTTCGTTAAGAATAGATGTCTAACGTTTCCGACGTTATACTTTTAAGTGCATGCCATTAAATTCGACCGTTAAGTAACACGTGTCAGGCTCATAAAAAATTTGAAATTTTATATGCCTAACACATGTCACTTAACAGTTGAATTTAACGATGTTAATGATCCAGACACCTAAAAATATAATGTTAGAAACATTAGACACCTATTTTTAACGAAAAATTCTTTCAACACCTAAAGTTAACTTTAAAGTATAGTTTGGACACTTAATTTTACATTAAGCCAAATTTAAAAGCGAACACAGTACATTTTACAATTACTATAACTTGTACAAATTTGTAAACGTTCTACCTAAGCAAGCCACCATTTGCACTGATTCTAAATATTGCTGCTAAACCTTGAAAACATTACTCCTTCCAACGTAGAAGCAGCACCGTACATCTCCATATAATGTAAAATCGTGTTCCCTTCTCCTTCACAAGCCTTGAGCACCTCTGCCATAGTCGTCTCTTGATGGAATTATATAGAGGGGAAGATGAGTGCACACTGAATCAGAAAATGACAAGGCTGGCATAGACCCATCAGCTTGTCTGCCTAACAAATCAACCCTGGAAAAGGACCATCTAATCAGAGATGGATTGAGGGGTGTTGAAGGTACGGTCGTATTCTTAAAAATTTTAAATATTTTTTTTTGCATTTTATATGAATTATCTAATTTCGCATCTCTTGAGTTTTTATAATTTTATATTCCTAAATTTTTAATATAATTTTTTAAATTCACACCTGTTAACATAAATTCTTAGATCCGTCCCTGGATCTAATGCTTATAATTTATCCAAATTATTGAAGGCTTTCCCGTCCTGTTTGCAAAAATAACATAACCAGACCCACCATCTGCCATGATTCCGGGATATGTTTGGATGGATTCTCCCAGATGTTTCTTCAAAGGTTTAGATTAATGGATAGGAAACTTTGGGAAGTCACACGCTCTGTTACTTAGGGTACGTAACCCTATTATATGTCGGATAAAATATACAAATGGTCTTTCACTATATAAGATGTTGCTTTTTTGAGTTTTCGTCTATTAAAATTTATAAAATGATTCTTTAATCTCCCTCGATTATTAAAAGTTAAAAAAACGGTCACTCGACTATTCATATGTATCAAACTCTATTTTTGGGTAAAAATTGTAACCCCTAAGACCGATGCGGATAACCCAATCCGATCTGAAGTGTCACATTAGGGCCACAAGAGCGACCCACCGTAAAAATAGCGAAAAATTTAAAACTTTTCTTAAAACTTGTAAACTCATAAAATTATTTATGAGTACAAAATAAAAGTTATCAGTATTCGAAATAAAACAGATTTTCAGACTTGTATATAAAACAAAATACAATTACATGTCCCCTAATCACATATACCATACTCTGCAACAACGTCAGAAAAACTCCCTTATTGATGTCGATAACTGCATTGGTACAATTCTTTTAACCTGCAATGGTGAGTAATAGAGTGAGCTTCGAAAAGCTCAGTAATACAGAACTACCAGATGATGCTGCAAGACATGCCGATAAATGGAAAGCCATATCATTTCTTATTGAACCAAACGTATGCAAATTTTCGGGATAATCTTAGGTTCCACAGGTAGTTCATCGAATAAAAGTCATGAAGATCTTAGGTCATAGGAAACATTCATAGTATGACAATTCAGGAGGTCGAATAGGATGTCTAGTGTGTTCCAATTAAAACCAGTGACAATATATAAATATTTTAAAACAATAGTGAAACCCTCCAACCAAACTCTATTATGCAGTTCCCCAGAACTGCGTCCGTATGGCTTACCCTAAGCACACAATAAAGGGAACCAACCTAAGGATATGCCTTGGGCCCATGGGCCTACCCAAGGGTATCCTTAGGTCTGTAAGGCCAGTTGGATCAGGGTTGTGCCTCCATACTCAAAATCCTATCCATATAAAAATCTAGTAGAAATCAGTTTTAGCCATAAATCGTAATACTTGGACCGTTATCCAGTAATATGTCATAATCATAATAATGAAATAAAACGTATAACTGATTTCCACCTGTACACCATAAGTAGTTTCATGATTATCCCAAGGGAGTGCCTTGGGTCCTGAGAGCCTACCCAAGGATCACCTTAGGTCCGTAAGAAATTTCCAGCTTGATCAGAGCTGTATCTCCAGTCTACCCATATAATATCCCAATAAAACAGTTCCATTAGTAACCAGTATATTTCATGGTCCATAAATCAATAACCATAATTTTATTCCAGTGAAAACAGGGAAACCTGATAACACATTTCAGGTAACCATAATTCATAAACCAATAGTTTCCATGATTCCATAAATCAGGAAAAATTCATATTTTTTTCGGTGAAACCCATAATCAGATATCACATACCATGTTGACATGGTTCATAAACCAGTAAATCAATGATTTCGTTAAAACTCATTTCAAAACATATAAAATCATCATGTAGTACATGTGGAACACCCTAGAAGATCCAAGTATTATTTTTCAGAGACATTTTGTAACTATCGGAATAGATAATATGAAACTTGTACAATTTGATCGGATTCCAGGAATGAGGTCCTATTCAAGAGAATTGATTACTAAACATTCTAATCAGGTATTTAAGGTTGATACTCTAGAATCCCATTATGTTTCATGTGCATCATGGAAGCGTTCAGGAATGACCGAAGTAATTTGAGCTGATAAAGGAGAAACGAAGATTCAGAACATTTACAATCTATGTCGATTGATCAGATTATGAAACAACTTGAGTTGAACAACTTCCAGAACTGATGCTCGTTGACTAATCAATTCATTACCCTTCAACGGTATTCGCTCTTTAACAATTCTTGCCCATAGATTATCTTCGTAATCATCGCTGAATAGGTCTTCCAATGGTCTTTATTTCATCTTCACGTTTTAACGATATCAGGAAATGCTGACGTACTTGATTCGTGGTTCATAACCCATAAGAACAATACATCATACAAGTTCATTGGTATTCCCAGACTCATCCAATTACTTACTAAATTCTCCATCATTAAGGTTATTTGGTTCATTTAGTAGTCAAATCTATGTCATTTACTTCAGAGTCTTCCCGAGTAATTCAGACGCTTCTGAGTTCTAGATACATGTTGTACTTTCGTTCAGTTCACTTTGGTCATATACTTAAAATCATTTTGGCATTCGTAGTTGATTTATCTCATGAATATCCATTTCTTAATATCGAATGATCTCTATAGTTGAGCTGAGTTGAGTACTTCTATAATTATCATCAGTCCAAACTTGAGGAGACGAACAAGCATTCAAGGGGTACATATGCTATTCAAGTACTGATATATCACTAGCATTGGTTGATCGGCTTAAGTTGTGTTCCATAACTTTTAAGAGCAGTACAACATCCATGCTTATTTAAATTTCTTAATTAATCCAACACATTTACTTAGTTTAGACTATAAGGGCATTTTGGTCATTTTGGTACTCAATATTTTTTCCATTCATTTCAAAGCTTGAGGATATCTATTCATTCCCTGGGCTTGGTGATATTCTTGAGTCATTTCCATTCCTAGGGTATTTTGGTCATAGATCCAGTTTATTTCAATCATTTCCTTCCGTCATATCTTATTATTTAATTCAAACTTATCATCTACTTCGAGCATTTCAACGATTCTGATAAAAGAGCACCATCGATAAATTATTCTTCATGTACTTACATAACTCGAAGATTTCCAGGTTAAATGCCTTATCAGATGTTACTAACAGATTATCAGGAATTTTCCATACAAAAATAGGTTCTCAATAGTCAAATCAATAATTTATCAGTTTAAATACAAATTCTCCGGTTACTTTCTCATTCAGAGTTAACTCGGACTATTTTTACCTCTCAAGGGCATTTTCATAATTTCGTAATCAGATAATTTCGGTATTAAACTCTTGACAAGGATACTTTTTCGAATAATCACTAAACGATAAATTATTTCTTAACAAACCTCTTATCAAACTTTCTAGGTCAGTTCTTGTATTTTACAACATAAGGGTATTTTCGTAATTTTACCAAATCGGAGTATTCTCATAATTTATCATTTAAACGAATTCGGTTCGAGTCCATCCATAATCAAGCAGTCATAATAGTCCAATCATATACATCCATGCATTTATCAATTATCAACATGTTCCATAAAGCATAAAGAGGTAGTAATGTATTACCTCAATTTTTGTGCCATACTGATCGGCCATTAATTTCCATTCGAAAGTCTTTGATCCTTAATTCAACTTCCAATAA